AATTTGCTAAGCATCTACTGTGTGCCCAGCCCTGTGCTGGGGGGTGTTGGGACACTGCAAGGACTGAGACAGCCCCAGGCTATCCCCTCCTAGGGGTCACAGTACAGTGGAGGGCACAGACCTGTCCCCAGTCAGGGACGATTAAAGTAGACAGGATTGGGGGAGTCCGTGGGGCTGGGGGAGCCCAGTGAGGGCACCTGATCTTGCCTGGGAGTCAGGAAAGACTTCCCGGAGGAGGGACAGGTAAGCTGAGTCCTAGAGGATAAATAGAAGGCAGAGAAGGGAATAGAAAAAGACTAAGTCTAATGAAAGAGTGCAAAGATCTGTCGGTGGAGGGAGGGCTTGAAACATTGAGGAAGCTGGAGGCTCACGGTGGCTAGGGCAAAGGGTGCAGAGAGAGAGGTTAGCGGGGACCCGATTCTGCAGGCTTAAATTCCAGACTGAGTTTAGATCGTCTCTAGAAGGCACCGGGGAGCCATGGCAGGTTTTGAGTACAAGAAGTGCAGGGACAGGTTTGTGCTTTAGAAAGACTCCTCCAGCCTTCAGATTGAGGGTCGCTGGGAGAGAAAGGGGCAAGCCTGGGGCAGCAGACCAAGGAGGAGGCTAGGGTGGGGACACTGGGGTGTGAGGGAGGGACCTGGAACAGGCCCAGGGCTGTGGGAGAGAGAGGACGGGAAGGATTCGAAAGACATTTAGGAATAGACTGGGGAAAGACAGACCAGGGCAGTAGTAAACAGCACGGGCCAGGGCTCTGAGAACCCCGCGGCTGGAGGCTTACAGAAGCTGGGTGACCTTGGGCAAGAGGCTTCATCCCTCTGAACCTCAGTTTCCTCGGCTGCAGAATGGTGCTGTTGTGAGGAATTAATGAGCTTGTGCACGCCAACGCTGAGCTCAGAGTAGAGGGACAGATATCACAATCGCCATTATTGGGGCCACCCTGATCCCCAGCCGGGAATATCCCCCCCTTCTGCTGGGTCATCGCATCTCATCCTTCAGGTGTCTGCTCAAATGTTACCCTGACACCCCACCTGAGCTCAGGTCTCCTTGTTAGATGGCCTCATATGTTCTATACTTGCCTTCCCAATAGTTATCGCCTTTGTAGTTGTTAATTAAATGTGTAATTAATGATTGTTTGAGGTTTGTCTCCGCTGGACGGGGAGCACCATGATGCGAGGGCCGGCGTCGTCGTCACCACTGTGTCCCCAGCACCGCCCAGTGCAGGACCAGGCGCCGAGTAACCGCTCAGCAAATACTTGTTGAATGAGTGAATGAATAAATGAATAAACATTTGACTGATTAATAAGTGCATGCATGATTAAATACATGAGTGAGCAAATGACAAGGAATGAGAGAGTGAGCAAGCGAAGGGGGAGAAAACCAGGGTAATTCTCAAACTGTAAATATCCTAGAACTGAGCGTGTAGACGAGTTTTTCTTCATCTTTTGGAACTGTCTTTGATATTCCCGGAAAAAGTGTAACCACAGGAAGAGACCCGCGTGGTGAAGGATAATCAATTACGATGCAGAGAACTGCAGCGACCTCTCCAGATGCCGGCCAGAGGCGCATCCTCTGGGGCAACCTGCACTGTAATGTCCAGTTTGGAGGGAGGAAAAAAAAGACTGAATTGTGAGCTGGAGAGCCGCCCGAAAGGTGGAATTGAACCACTCTGTCGCTAGACAGCTACAGGTTTGAAGCCTGCACCCCAGACCACTGAGGATCATCCGGGCGAAGTAAGCGGTTCTCCACAGGACTATATAAAAACCATAAATTCCTATATTTTTACAGTTATGGTCATATGGTTTGGGAGGGTATGAGACTGTTGCTTTCAATATATGGAAATTCTCCCCAGTCATTTATAACGGCAGATGTCCTTCCAAAACGTTGTCTTTGCTCCACATGGCGTGAATCATTGTCGATTTGGAAACCGTCTTATTTGCATAGCACCGCGCATTCTGGGAAACGGCTCCCGAGGACCCGGCCCACTCGCTGCTGGCTGTTAAAGAGCCAGAAGCCCCCTTTCCAAGTGAGAAGTCAGTTTTTTAAGAGAGATTCATAATTCGGCATTCAGAAGCCCCTTCCCTGAAAAATCCGAATTCGAGTAAGCGGGTTCTTGCTAGAGTCTGGTTTAGCCCAGCCCTGGAGGCTCCAGGTTGGCGGCTATAGGGCTGGCGCGACACCTGCTGTTCTTCTGCGGAACTTCAGCCACCTGCGGAACCCTAAGTTCATTCAAATGTTGTGAGCGCCTACTGAGTCCCATGCACTGTCGTAGGTGCTGGGGATGACAGAAATTCTGTCCCCACTAAGTTTAGACACTAGAGGTCATCGATTTCTGCACCTGCATTTTTATGACCAAGGAAACTGAGGCTTGGAAACGGATAGTACCGTTCACCAGTTCACATAGCCCACGCACCAGGGGGAATCGAACCCGCACCATCAAAATTATTATTACAAAAAACGTGATCGTTTTATAAACTCAGCCATTTACTCATGTGACCCTGGCTTCTCCTCCTCTCTCCTCACACACTTGGCCTCTGGCATACAGATCTCTCGGGGCACACACCAGCTACGCTCCCTTCCCAGGGCCATTGCGTTTGCTATCCCTCTGTCTGAATCTCCTTTCCTCCATATGACTCACTGCGTCTTTTCACTCTGACTTCTGCTCAAATATCACCAGTTAGTGAGGCCTGCCCTGACCATCCAATTTAAAATAGAAAAGCCTAGACCTTGAGGGTATGATCCTAAGCGAAATAAGTCAAATGAAGAAAGATTAATACTGTACGGTTTCATTCATATGTGGAAGATAAACAAACACAGGTACAGAGAACAGACTGGTGGTTACCGGAGGAGAAAGGAGTGGGGAGAGGGCAAAAGGGGTAAAGAGGAACATTTGTCCAGAGACAGATGGCAACTAGACTTTTGGTGGTGAACACGATGTAGTTTATACAGAAGTCAAAATATAATGATGTACACCTGAAATTTACATAATGTTATAAATCAATGTGACCTCAATAAAAAAAATATCAAGTCCTGTCACTCTATCCCCTTACCCTGCTGGACTTTTCTCCATCACTCTGATCACCACCTGCCAAATTCTATCTCTAGTTTCTATTGTCTATCTGCTCCCCCTGTAATATCAGTTCCATGAAACTGTGGACTTTGTTTTGGTCCATTTCTGTATCCCTAGTGCCTAAAGAGTACTTGAGCATGTCGCAGATGCTGGGTAAATGTTTGTAGGATGAATGAGAGAATGTTACCGTTATCCTTCTCTGATCCTGGGTTTCCTCATCTGGAAAACAAGACTAGTACAACTGATTTCACTGGAGGAACTGTATGGAGAGATGGATACAAAAGTCTGGCACGGGGCCAGGCACTGGGAAGCACTCAAGAAAGGCTGTTTCCATCTCCAGCCTGTTTCCCGCCTCCAATGGGGATGCCAAGGATGGGGGCTTTAGCCATTCCTGGACCCATAATCTCAACCAGTCCCTCTTCCCCCATTCTTTATATGGACAAATGGACGCTTTGTCTTACGGAAAGTGTAAACAAAAGCATCTTTAGGAAGTTTTACTATTTTTTTTATTTGGAAATTTAAAACATTGTCTTTGCTTGGTAAACCCGTATTCGAAAGAAAACCCCTGAGCGTTTTTCTTTTAGATAGAAAGCGGCCACTAGGCAAGCCCTGTATACAAATTCTGGGGCTGTAACCACGACTCCTGTAACATCATTATCTATCTCCCAAAATGTGACATGCATTGCTAGAGGCAAGCGAGATGATTTTAGGAGCTGCACGAACATTTTTTTTTTCTTTTAAGATTTTATTTATTTATTTATTTTCCCCAAAGCCCCAGTAGATAGTTGTATGTCATAGCTGCACATCCTCCTAGTTTCTAGTTGCTGTATGCGGGACTCGGCCTCAGGATGGACGGAGAAGTGGTGCCTTGGTGCGTGCCGAGATCCGAACCCGGGCCACCAGCATCGGAGCGCGCGCACTTAACCACCAAGCCACGGGGCCAGCCCGGATCAAGCATTTTAAATGTTAATAGTTTTGTGTTTATTTTTATTGTTATCTTCTATTTCTGGCAAGTGATACTGACTTCCTTGGTGGTGAAGTAACATTTCTTTTGAAAAGTCATTTGTTTTATTTGTAATAAACCAATTAAAAAATTAGATCAATAGCAGAACAGGTGATATAAAGATCATGAAGGTGGTGAGGGAATGACTGAGGTTTGGGAAACAATGTTTAGCTAACAATAGCAGCTTCTGTTCACCGGACATTTTTTATATGCCTGGCTCTGGGACAAGAGCTTTACATGTAGGTACGGTTATGGGGACATTTTTCCTTTTGAGGAAACAGAGGCTTTGAGAGGTGAGGTCACTTGCTCAAAGTTACACAGCCAGGAGGTAGTAAAGCTGGGATTCAAATCCAGGTCCATGGGCCTTTAGACTCCAGTCTCCTGTCTCCTCCTCCCTCAGTTTACAGTTTTGGAACTTGAGGCCTGGAGAGGCCACCAGGCCCTGTACTTGGTCCCAAGGCGATTGGAAAGGAGAGAAGTGGGTGGATGAGAGACGTTTGGAAGATAGACTAGACATGGCTTCCTAACTGATTAGATGTGGGGTCTGAGGGAGTAGGAGGCAGGGCTGTACCTAGGTCTCTGGTCTGGTGACAACGTGGGGAGAGAGGACATCCCTGAGTTGGAAATCAGGTAGGACAAGGAAGAGGTTTGGATATATTTGTGGGGGGGGAGTCGTCCAGAAGGCAGTTGGACACATGGGTGACATGGCTGCAGAGCAGGCAGTGTGGGGATTGATTAGTGATGTCTGCCTTGAGCACAGGCATGGACAGTGGCTGCCAAGGCTTGGCTGGCTCTGGGATGGGCGGTCTCTCAGATGGTAGAGGGGGCTTCTTCAGCCGAGATGGGAAGGTTCCTCCTTGAGGATCACTTAGGTGTTTTTCAGTGCAGGAAGGTGGAAGCTGGAGGGGGCTGGAAGCACAGGAGGCCTTGGGTTTTCCACAGGAGTCTTTATTACAGTGTAAATCCAAGCTCAGGCCTCCCCTGGGCCCCATGCAATGCCCCGGCGTTGGGGCTAGTGGCGTCCAGGAGACACCAACCCCTCACGGCGCCTCCAGCGGCGGATCTCGGAAGTGCAGGGCGGGTGCCCTATCTAGGCAACTACAAGTCCCAGCAGGCCCCGCAGCCAAGGTGCCTCGCCTTTCCTGGATTCCTAAAGCAGAGCCTCTTGGGAAATGTAGTCCTGGCCGCTCAGGCAATTTGCGGAAACTCCCTGGTGTGAGTAATCCTGACACCCACCGGGAAATGGCTCCGGCGGAGGCAGGGAGAGGGTGGGGATGGAAGGGAGATTGAGTGGGGCAGAGGGCTGCAGTGGGTGGGGGCAGGCGTCCCGCGGGCAGAGGTGCCCCCTTCATTCGGCTTTGGCTTTGGATCCGGAGACTGCGGCTGCTGCTGAGGCAAGGGCTCCGGTCCCTGGGATCTTAGCTCGGATCCTGAGGGACAAACAGGTGGAGTCACGAGGTGGGGCAGGGGACGGGGTAGGTATCTGAGAAGGTTCGATGGAGGAACTAGCTGAGGGGAGTCGGGGAGGAGTTCCCAAGTTTCCCCCTTCCCCATCCCATCCATCTTCACCCCATGCCCTTACTTAGCTTTGATGTGGCTCAACTGATTCGTCACCAATCCCACATACTGGTCAATCTGGGCCTGGGGAGACGCAGAAGGGATGAAAGGAGAGATTGGAGGGGATTCTTGTCCCTAATTCATTTAGGAGACTGCTTTCTCCCCCACCCCCAAATCCGGAGTTGGGGGAAGTAGCCCGCTAAACCACCTTCAACTCTAAACCCAATCAAATACCCTTGGATGACACAAGTTCAGGTTGAAGGGTCAGTCAGTCGGGCCACACTTTGTGGGGAGTAATGCCACACAAGAGAGGTAGACACACAAGAATTTGCCAGCAAGTCTGCGTCCTGGACACAACTGTTAATCTTTGAGTGAGTTGTGCGTGCACGTGTGTGTGTGTGTGCGCGTGCGCATGTGTGTTCAGGGGCAGTGTGAGAGTAGAGGGCGTTGGTGTTGGTTGTCAAGTCCCTGAGTGGATTGATTTAAATACTAGTTTAATTCACAGTGTTAGCTGACGTTGTGAGTCTTGGGGATTCTAGCATAGGAGGCAGTTCGTTAGGACTATCTCTTTGGCAGGGACGTGTGTATCATTTGGCCCTCAGCTGTGCTGGAGAATGTCAAAAAGGGAATGTGGGTCCAGCTGCCTGTCTCTGGATAAGATATATGGCAGCTGGCCCTGGATCTGTCAGTGCTGTGGGCTTCATCCTCCCCAGTTTTGATGGAGATGTCAGTGCCTGGCAGCTTCGGGGAATCAGGGCATCAGACAGTCCACCTGATTGGCTGGGAGGGGTGTCAGTCAAACCCAGACTATGTATAGGGATAGAAGGCATCCCTCTGTCTGTCTGTCTGTGTGTCTCTGGAATATGTGTTTGTCAGTCTCTGGTGGTATTGGAGGAGAAGACACCAGTCGGGCTGCCTCTCTGTAGCGAGGACATGACAGTTGGACCTTCGATCCATTGTCAGGGAGAAGCATCATTTAGTTGGTCTGCCTTGGGGTGAGGCATGTCAGTCAGACCCCGGCTCTTTCACAGGTAGGAACACCAGTTGGTCTTCCTATGTCTGGCTGGGACATCTGTCATGGGACCCTGGCTGTAGAGGGGGGAATTAGACCACCCATGTTGACTGCCAACTGAGGGCCTGTCACACTCACCTGGTGTTGCCGATACAGCAGGGGGACAGTGAATAAACCAATCACTCCTGTGGGCACAGAGATGGGGGTCAGGGTTCTCCCAGGAGATTAACAGCTCCATCCAGAGCCCTGTCCCCCACCAAGCCCCAGAGACCCCTCCCCACCCCGCCCCCAAAGCCTTCCCAGCTCACCCAGAATGAGAAGAGTCAAACCATTGAAGACGGCACCCACGAAGGTCAGGATGTAGAAGAGAAGGGCCAGCTGGGGGTGAGGGTCAGGGTCAGCAGAGCCCACAGGGCACTCCCCAGGCTGGGAATGCACCCAGCAATGGCCCTCTACCCGCCGGGGGCAGGACAGTGAACGGGGAACCCAGGAGGGATTGGGGGCTTCAGGGCACCTTGAAGGAGTCCACAAGGTCTTCTACCAGGAAGAAATGCCGAAGCTGGGTGGCTGCAGAGACCACTTGGGAGGCGATCTGCTGGGACAAACGTTCCTTCTGCTCCTGAGTCAGGGTCAGGTCAACATCCAGATAGGCCCTGGAGAACAAAGGGGTTTGAGGCGACTCAAGCAGGGGATGGGGCCCAGGCTGAGAGGTGTGACCGGGACAAGGGCAAGAAATGGGGGTTGGGGAGAAGGCCAGGTGTAGAGGGCTGGGGTCTTCAAGGTGGGAGATGGGATCAAGGATTAAGGGTAAGAGGTTGGGATCAGAGGTTAGAGCTGGAATTCTAGGGTCAGTCAGAGCCTCGTTTAAAGTCAGGGTGGGGTGAGAAACAGGACTAGGTTGGATCAGGGGTCAAGGTCAGGGTGAGAAGTTAGTGCCTGTTTTGAGGTCATGGGTCACGACTTAGGGTCAGTGCAGGGGTCTGGACAGAGGTCAGGGTTAGGGGCCGGGGGTTCTCACTGGAAGGGGTTGGTGCCGCCCCCCCGGTGCACGGCCTGCAGCAGCTTTCGGTAAACCCTGAGAGAGATGGTGCCACAGAGCAGCAACAGGGCCACGTGGGCGACCACGGACACGATGCTAAAGTGCAGGAGGCAGAGCAGGGAGACCATGAGGCCCGTGAAGACCGCTCCCGACGTCCTCGTGTCCTTCCAGTACAGCAGGTCCGCCACTGTGGAGGGAGGGGGGCAATCAGGCTGGGGTTTGGGCCCGGCCTGGCTGACCTCTTGACCTCCCATTTCCTGTCTCAGGGCTGATCCGTGACCTGTCTGAGCCTCAACCCAATTGCCAAATTTTTAGTTGTCTTCTTTTATTCCGTGCTTGCCTCTTCTCTTCCTTCTGGAAAACCCAAGTCAACCACTAGCCAGTCCCTTTGAGCTTACTCCTGCCCATTGATTATGTGTGGACACAATTTTTGGTCATTATTTATGAAAAATGGAATCATATAGACACTTGTGTGCATCATGCATATCTCACTGTACTTTTCCTTCTAGAATTCTCTCCTAATCAACCGGAATAGCTCTTAATTCATTCCTTTTAAGGGCTACATGATATTCCGTAGCGTGGCTGCACCATCATTCATTTGATTCAACGATGTATCTATTGCTGGACCGTTCATTTTGTTTCCTACCCCGCCCCCTTCCCCAACAGTGCTGCAAGTACCAGCCTTCTACAGATATTCTTACCTCTGTAAGGTAAACCTTCTTACCAGGAGGTTCTATTTCTGAGATACAATCCCAGGGGTGGAGTCACTGGGTGGACTAATTATATATCTTTGAGTGGCATGAATATTGTCAGATTGCTTACTAGCAAGACTCTAACAATTCTTATTTCCACGAGCAACTTGACAGTGATCTTTTCCCAGCATCCTGCCCAGCAATGGGTATTACTGTTCTTTTCATTTTTTGCCAACCTGATGTGTAAGTGATATCTCCTCGATACTCCTACCAACAGGTTTTTCTAAGTCCTCAATGTATTAATAATAACAGCATCCTCCTTCCTAAGCCCTAACTCAAATTTCTGACCCCTTTCTCAGACCCTAAACTCACCTCCCAAGCCCAACCTAAGCCCTGACCTCTGGACCCCAGTGACCTCTGGAGCCGAATGTTTCATCTCACCCATCTAAACTTTTAACAGCCCTCCCTATAATCCGCTCCTATTTGAGCCCGGAACTGGGAGCCCAGTACCCTTCCACTTCCTTCCAGACTCTCTCCATCCTCCCACCCTCACTCCATCCCGACGGTCCCTCTCAGCATCTAACTGCCCTCACTTCAGTATCCTCCCTATACACATCCTCCCATCTACCGCTAACTAGGGCAGGCCCGCCCCCACCCCCCAACGCCGGGCCTGACTTTGCAGGCTCCCGAAGGCCGGTGCCAGTGGGTGGGGGAGGGGCCGGGTCGCCTGCGGTGGGGGCTAAGTTTAGGCACGCTGGGGGGAGGGGGGCTCGCCTGCAGCTGTGCTGGCCCGTCCAGCTCCTGAGTGACAGCGCCACCTGGGCCTGAGGCTGGGGGAGGGGGCCTCCCCGCTCTTGGGCCCCAAAGCCCCGGCTCCGCAGAAAGGAGACCCCACGCTCCCTCCACGCCCTCCCTAGACACCCCCGCAGACCCCCAGGCCCAGCCGGCCGCTCTGGGAAATCTGGGACCAAAGGGAAACATCCCCCGAGGGTTGAGGGAGGTAATAGCGGATCTGGACCCCGTTCCGCCGTCCCCAGCCCTCTTCCCAGCCCACCCCGAAAGCCCACCTTTACTCCCCATCTCTGCTCCGAGTGAGAGGCTGCGGACACTGCTCGTTCTCGGGGATTTTGCCCACTTCAGTGGGACCCGGAGGGAGGGAGCAGGGGGGCGGGGCCCCCTTACACCCAGCCAATGGCTCTCCACAGAGGTGGGGACAATTCCAAAAAGGGGTGGCTCTCTTTGTAAATAGCCCAAAGCCCTGATGTCTATAACCAACCCATAGCCGCTCGTAGAGGCTGAGCATATCTTAAAGTAAGGCGGGGTCTATTTGCAATTGGCCAATGGATGTGGTCAGGGAAGAGGAGAGTTTTTAGAAGGCGTAGAGTTTACTTAGAAATGTCCCATGGCCACATCCAGAAGACCGCCTTATTTTTTCTGGGGTTTGGCTTGTCCAAAATCAGGCTCTAGGGGGAGTCCTGCAAAAGAGAGATTATTTTTTAGCAATCAGCCAATCCTAACGCTCGAAGGAGGGCTAATTTCTCAAATGGGAGGGAGAACTATATAAAAAAAAGCCAATGGCAATCTTAGATAAAGGGAAAAAATTTGAAAGGGCGGGGTTTATAACGTCTAGCCAATAGCAATACCTCCCTTCTCCACTCTCCTCAATTCCTTCACGAGGTTGGTCCCTTTAAATTCCAATCTTCCCACCCTCTCTGTAGTCCAACGGAGCATCTTCACTCACGCAGTTTACCTAGAAGGTGTGGTTCCAATGTGAATTCTGATTGGTCTGTGCTATCGAGGCACTGCCCCGTGATTGGCTCCCGCTCCGGCTGCCTCCACGGCTCTTCCTCCTTCTGGTCCAGAGGCGGCTCATCAGGCCAGCAGTTCGAATCCCGGGATCCGGGTGGGGACGGGGTACTGGCCTGGGGGGTCCCAGACCCGGAGCTGGGCTGTGGAGTCAAGACTTCGTGCGGCGGAGACTGAGCGAGTTCGAGTTGTAGGTCCAGTTCTGGCGCGTTAGAGAGAGAAGGCCGTGAGCTTTCCTCGGAGGTGCCCTGAGAAGAGACCACCCACCCCTTGCGGCTCCGGTCCCAGCACCTCGGACATCTCACCTTTCCCAGCCTCTCCAGCCTCCGATCCGTCGGGCTCCTCGTCTTCCAGCGGGGTGGAGCTACTCGTGGCAGAGTCCTCCCCGGACCCCGCGTCCCGGGCCGCCCAGCCCAGCTGGTCTAGCTGAAGCCCCAGGTCCTCCAGGGGACGCTCGGGCGGCGGGGCAGTGTCGGGGTCACCACGGCGCCCGGGCTCTGGCGATTGGCTCAGGCTGGGAATGCTCTCCAAGCTGTCGCCCAGGCCAGGCTGAGGGGGCGGGTCTCGCGGCTCCGAGACTGAGCGGCCCTGGGGCCGGGGGCGGCGGGCAGCTGAATCCCGGCGCGCCCCGGAGCCCACCACGCCGTCGAAGGCGATGTAGGAGAAGGTCAGCTCCCGGGGGGTGCCCCAGTCCTGCGACGTGGTTTCTTCCTCGTCGTCCTCCGAGAACTCCCGGGCTGTGTGCAGCTCCCGAAATTCCGAGTCGTCGTTCCCTCCTGCAGTGAGCATAGGAGGGCCGTGAGCTCCTGGGAGCAGGACCTCAACCCTCGCTCCTCAAACCCCCTACCCAGCTGTGAGCCCCCTTCAATCCCACTCTCACATCCTCCCCCTCCACTTACCTTCTGTGGAGTCAGGGGTAGAGGAAGCTGTAGACGGAGCTTCTTCTGTGAGAGGGAAAGAATCGAAGACTCTTAGAAGCTTAGACTGTCAGAATCACAGAAGTGTGCCAGTCCTGGAAACTTGGATGGTCCGAATTAAGGAATCTTAGAATATTTTAATCATAGGACCTTTAGAACATTCTGCATACAGACTGTAAAACCTTAGTATCGCTGCTACCAGAAGCTCAGTCTTAGAAGTTCCAATCCAGGAATTTTAATCTTAGAATCCTCAAATTAGGAATTTTAGGAGGTTTCAATTCATTCATTCTTTGAACAACCATTTATTGAGCGCCTACCTCTGAGCCTGGGGCTGTTTTAGACCCTGAGGATATAATTGTTAACAAAACAGACAAAACCCCTACCCTCATACAGCTTACACTCTATAGAGGAGACAGACAATAAACAAATACATGATGTTGGGTGTTACGTGGGCAGAGAAAAATAAAGCAAGGTAAGGGAAGAGAAAGTGAGAGGATGCTCTTTCAGACAGGGTGATAAGGAAGACGTCTCCGATAAGATGATATTTGAGCAGAAAGGTGAATGAAGAGAGGAAGCCATGAGGATATCTAGGGAAGAGTGTTCCAGGCAGAGGGAACAACCAGTGCAAAGGCCCTGAGGCAAGCACTATGCTTAGCATATCTGAGGAACAGAGAGGTGTGAAGGTGTGACCAGAGCAGAGTAACTGAGGGAGAGAAGGGTGGGAGATGAGGACAGAGAGGTGATCGGGGGTGAGGATCATGTAGGGCCTTCCCTTGTAAGCCGAGGACAAGATCTTAGAATGTTGGGATGATAGTCTAAAATGTTGAAATAACAAATTCTTAGAATTTTGGCATCTGGACTCCCAATCATACAAGTGGCTAGATCTGAGACTGTTGAAATCCCCAGCTGTCAGAACCACAGGGGTGTGGGACAGAGAATGTTTGACAAGGACTGTTAGAGCCCTGGGCTTGGAGATCATGAGGATCAGATAAGGCCTTTTCAATTGCGGAATCTAGCCCCTCGGAGCTAGCTTGGGGCACTGCCTACGGAGATGCTCAATATCGTCTGGAAATTGAAATCGGACGCCGCCTGCCCCCACCTGGTTTCTTCAACTAGGGAATCAGAGGCCCAGAGCGGAGTGGGTCTCCTCCAGGGTTACTACTAATCAGTGATATAGTCCGCTAAGGACCCAGGAGTCCTGGCCCCAGCCCAGGGATGGCTGTTTCCCAGAGACAGGAGGCTGGACAATTTGGGCGAGGTCGGGGCTGCCTCTGAGTCTGGCCAGGAAACGGAGGTGGGATGCGAAGATGGGTGATGGGGTGGGTCAGACCCCTCTTCTCCATCCTGGTTCTACCCCTCCATTCAACTGCCCTCCCCGCCGGCTGCGGCCAGCACCAGGGCGAGGGGACAGCTCCTGGTGAGCGTCCTCATCCCCGGGTGGGGCCCAGCGGCGCGTCCCAGCGCCCAGCGCGCCCCCCGCCAGCTATCTCAGTGTCCCCCACCTCCGCCCTGTCTCACTCAGGTCCTCCGGGTCAGGTCGCCCCCGTCGCCGCTGGAACGCGGGGGGAGGGGAAAGCTTCCTTTGTCTCCTTCGCCTCCTCCCCCATCCCGGCTCTCCCGCGGCCGGGCGCTGAGAGGAGACCGGGGAGGAGCCCACCCGGGCCTCTGGGCCCACACCAGGCTCGAGCCTCCCTCTACTTACTGCAGTGGGCGAAGACCGGCAGGACCTGCCCCATGGCCCCCCTCGGGCCTGCATCGGGACCCCCGCCCACTCCGGCCACGCCGCCCTGGGCCTGGGGCCGCGGGCGCTCATCTCCGCCG